CAAAGATCCCTCTTGACCCAGGCTGGGGAAAGGGAAAATAAATCATTTTTAAATACACCTAGAATGTTCTCCATAACCAAGGTCTACCATCCAGGGGAAATCACTTTACCAGACCTTTCTATGACAGGAAGAAGGGAAATAAGCCAAGTCCAGCCCCCTCCAGCCATGCCGTCTCAGGTCTCAGGTAAGGGAAATGCTTCCAAAGGTCACGGCCCAGAAACTCAGGCCAACTAAAGCACTGAGAATTAACCATGAAATCCCAGAACACTCCCTTCCCCACAGCCTGACCACCTGGTAAAATAGAAGTCCAAAAGGCTTAGAATAGACTCCTCTCTTGGCCTTAGAGATGCACTGATAGGGGCGGGATTCCTGCCACAAGAGAGGTCAGGAACTGAATCCACTAGAAAGAAAAATTTCCCAGAACCTAGCAACACCTCGCTTGCAAGGTTTGAGAAATACCAGAGTGACCAGACTTTGCCCCTGACCTGGGCATTCCAGTGGACAACAAGGTGCACGAGCACCTGAGGTGGTGGTTTCCACCCGCTGCGTGGTCCTGGGTCCAGCTGACCTCCTCCAACCCCAAGTTGCATGTGCCACTTCTCCTTGTTATAAAAGCCCAGACCAACTTTCCCTCGGAGGAATGACAGCGTGATCAAACGGAACTTCTTCTATTCTCTGATTTGCAAATCTATTCTGCATCTGAATAAAAACACCTTGGTCATGATTTCTTAGTCGACAGACCACAACGGTGGCCACTCCTTTGGGAGATGTCCCTCCGCAGAGTCCCTTCTCTTCCCTGTGCTGAGCATTCTAAATTCTAAAGAGGAGCAGCACCTAACTTTACAGTTATGGTGAACACAGAGTGACACAACTGTAACTTTAGGGTTACAGTGAACTATAACTGTAACTACATTTACAGAACCCAGAACATCTATCGACTTTCAGATAAGACTTTCAGATAAGATCTACATGTGTAACAGGGCCCTCCTTATTCTTTAATTCTGTGCATCACTAACACAGTCAATTGTATGTTCAACTTGTAGAAAATATGGTTGTAACTAGACCTCGGTAGTCAAGGTCAATTGCAACTTTTCAGTGGGGGAGGGGGGCGTCGGCCAGGAGACATGTAACCTGATGAAGACCCTGCTCAGCATGTGACCTCTCTGCCCACTGTCCCAGCGCACATCCTTCCACTCCTCCATAAAAGTCATTCTGAGTACTTGAGGTCCCCAAGACAGAGTGCCAAGAGGGATAGCCCCCTCTATCTTCTCAGGCCTGGTCCTTGAATAAACCTGACTTCCTCTTTTCCAACTTTCCTCTCAACTACTGGCTTTTGAGTAAAGAGCAAACACACCTGCATCCAGTGACAAAGAGCACATTAGGATAACAAGTTGGTTATAACAGCTGCAAGACATAGACTCTATTTAATCAGGAAATCGAAGAAAATGGGGGGAGGTAATTAAACAGTGAAACTAGAAGAAGTGAAGTCTCTGGCACCTAGAGCTATAGCAAATTTAACATGGCCCCGTCCTAGCCAGATTAACCTAACGCCACACGGAAAGCCAGTCACCTCAGTTCCTCTTACACAACACATCACGCCCAGCTTTCAACCCCAAATTACAAAGTATACTCTATGCAAAAGCATGGCATATGCACAATGGGGATATCAGAAGGAAAAGAGACAAAGAAGCAGAAAAATATTTAAAGGAGTAAAGGCTCCACTGTCGTGTATATAAAAAAATAAAATCAATTATAAAAAAAGGAGTAAAGGCTGGAAATTTTACTAAATTGCAGACAAGACAGCCCATATCCAGAGAGCCCAGAAGACATCTACGCCAAGGCATATCACATTCCAACTGCAGAAAACCAAAGACAAAGGTAATGTTTTGAAAGAATCCAGACGAGAGAAATTCCTAGCATGAGAGTGGAACTGGGGGAAATTATTTACAAAGCAATTCTTCAAAGCCGGTTCATTCACGAATGAAGAAAATCTATAAAAATCATTCAGAAAGGCTGTGATACTTCAATACAGAGCATTCTCTCACTCCACCTCCCACAGCTCAGCAGGATGCAGACTCCACTCTAGACACCTACAGCCAAGAACATAGGCTCCATTGCCTGTTCCCACTCCAGGGCTTCTTTCTGAAACCCTGACTGTCCCAGTCTCTGTGGCTGAGGCTAAGCCCTGGGTAAGTACTGCCAGGAAGTGGAGGCTGCCTTCTTGCAGGGGGGCCACATGTGGAACTGAAGCTCCCCCCTCAAGTGGCATGCTCACAGCACTGGGTGGAGCCCTGATCACCGCTGCCCTGCCCCTTCTACTCAGCATCATAGGGAGGTTCTAAAGCCAAAGCAATTAGGCAAGAAAAAGAAATACCAGTCATCCAGACAGAAAAGTAAAGAAAGAAGTAAAACCATCTCTATTTTCAAGTCACATGATCTTTTATAGAGAAAATCCTAAGGGATTCATTAAAAATTAGAGCTAACACACTAGTCTGTAGGTTGCAGGACACAAGACTGATATACAAAAACCAAATATATGTCTATGCACTGAACAATCTGAAAATAAAATGAATGATTCCATTTACAGGAGCATCAAAAAGAATAAAACACAAATAAATTCAACCAAAGCAGTCCAAAACTCAGAAAATTATAAATCGTTGTTGAAAGAAATTTTAAAAGATCCAAATAAGTGGAAAAACATCCCAAGTTCATGCACCAGAAGACTTAACGTGGTTAAGATGGAAAAACTCTATCATAATCTTTAGATCAAAAACATTCAGAATTCGAGATGACTTCTTTGTAGAAATCGACAAGTTGATCTTAGTAAAATGCAAGGAACAGGTAAGGACCCAGAAGAACCAAAATAATCTTGAAAAAGAAAAGCAAAGTTAGACTTTGCTTCACACCTCTTGATTTTAAAACTTACTATGACTTCAGTAATCGATATGGGGGTGGAGGAAGGGAGGAGGGAAGGGGGAAGAGGGATAATGAAATTGATCAAATTATGTTTTTATGTATATGAAATATGTCACAATGGCATGTACCAATAAAAAATAATCAGAAGAAGAAGAAAAAAAAAAGACTGTGTGGTATTGGCATAAGGACAACAATAGACCAGTGAAATTGAATTAGCATCCAGAAATAAACATGTACATCTATGGCAAACTGATTTTGATACAGGCTCCAAGACCACTTAGTAGTAAAAGAATAGGCTCAGTGGTGGAGTGCTCGCCTGGCATGCACTATGTTTGATCCTCAGCAACACATAAAAATAAACAGTAAAAGAATAATCTTTTCAACAAAAGATACTGGGACAAATGGATAGCCACATGTAAAAAAAAAAAATAAAGTTAGATCTTTGCCTCCCACCATATACAAAAAAATTAATTAAGATATAATAAAGAATAAACTGTAAATGCTACAAGGACAAAACTCTTAGAAAGTTCCATAATCACAGAAAAAGATTCTCAACATCTTTGGTCATTTGGTCATGCAAATCAAAATACAATGACATACCAGATCACATCCACTAGGATAGTCAGGATCAAAATGTTAAATAATAACAAGACCCCAGTGAGGAGGATGTAGAAAAATGAGAAGCCTCATATACTGCTTGCAGGAATGTAAAATGGTACAGCTGCTTTGGGAAATGGTCTAGCAATTTCTCAAACAATTAAACACGGAGTTACCATACAACCTAGCAATTCCATTCTTAAAAAAATGAAAACATGACCTCACAAAAACTTGTACATGCAGAAACAACCCAAATGCCCCTCCCCGGTGAATGCATAAACAGAATGTGGTTTAGGCACCAGTGGAATATTATCCAATCATTAAAAAGAAAAAAGCACTGACCCTCGATACAACGTGGTGAACCTCGAAGGCGTGACACAGGACACAAGCAGCCAGTCATATACTGTACAATTCTATTGATATAAAATGTCCATAGTAAGCAAATATATGAATAAAAGAAAGTGACAGTAGTTGCTTAGGGCTGAGGGCGGGGGATAGAAGATAAGGGTGACAATAAACATGTGGGATTTCTTTTTGGGGGGATGAAAATGTTCTAAAACTGACTGGTGAAGGTGCACATGTCTGTGAACACACCACAAACCACTGAACTGTGCACTTTAAGTGGATGAATTTTGGTCTGTGAATTACCCCTCACTCAACAAGGGGGGGAAAAAGAAAAAAAGAAAGAAGTCTGAAGAGAAAAGCACTTCCACAGAGGGGAGTAAGGATAAGGTGACATTCTATTTCTCATCAGAAATCCCAGAAGCAAGAAAGAAGTTGGCGAAAATACGTAAAGTGTCAAAAGAAAAATCCACAACGTAAAACTCTTTTTTCCAGTGAAATCATCCTTCCAAAATAAAGAAGAAGGAAAAAGATCTTGTCAGACAAACAGAAAGGAGCTCTCAGCCACGGGTAGCTCAGGGGGGCCTCTGGTGAATGCCCTTTCTCACCAGGGGCCATTCCATGCCACCTCCTCAAGGTGCTGGCCTCTTGGCCATGTGGGAGGCAAGAGGACTCCCAGGAGGGCTGAGGAAACCAGGGAGCCAGGCTCCATGGCGCACACCTCTCTCCCAGCGACTCAGGAGGCTGAGGCCCCCTGCAATTTAGCGAAACCCTGTCTCAAAAGAAAATACAAGAAGGGCTGGGATGTAGCTCCATGCTAAAGCACCCTGGGTTCCATCCCTACACCAAAAAGAGAAAGAAAGGAACCCACAGGAACGACATAAAGGTGAGGCACTTGGCAGGAAGGGTGCCCTCCACCCAGGGGAACAGGGGTTGTGCTCGACCCCTGGCCATCACCCTGGGGCTGCAGTGGGGGCTCTGTGACCTCCAGCACAGCATGACCACTCCCCCTCTCCTGGAAGAGGGAGCCCATGGGGGCAGAGCACATGGCCACTGGCTGCAGGGGGTGAAAGATGAAGGGAGAGGGCAGGGCCACAGGGTGAGGACCAGACTCTGCGGGGCCCCCCACCCCTTCCTGGCCCCACCTGGGGAAGGTCCGGCTCCGCAACTCCTTGATGAAGAGCTGGCTGCCATTCTGCACGGGCTTCACGTCGGGCGTCTGCCCCGGGCCGTGCTTGTGCCACGTCCGCTTCTTCTTCACTGCAGGGGGGCGGGGGGGGGGGACAGGAGGTGGGGGACAGGAGGTGGGGAATGTCATCAAGTGCAACCCCTCCTCCGGGGCCCTCATACCTGCTGCCCTGCATGGGGACCCAGCAAGGCCTTCGAAGGGTGGGAAGAATCTGGGGAGCCTGTGAGTACTCAGACCTCCTGAAACCCCAACCCTCACACCCAGCACCTCCTCACCCTTACCACACACACACACACACACACACACACACAGAGGAACTCGGACCCCACCCTTCCTCCCCAGCCTCTGGTGTCACCAACTAAAGTGTCATCACCGTCCAACACTCTGACGCAGAACCTGGGGTCTCCCAGGACTCCTCTTCCTTCAGGCACCAAATCTGCCAAGATCACCAGAGTCACCTCCTGCAAGGTCCCTAGCCACGGGAACCACCATCCCAGAGCTGGATGACGCCTTCCGCCTGCCCTCCATATCAAGACCCTGACACCTCCCTGCTGGGACCTTTGGCACCTGATAGCCACCACCACAGGTGGCCCTCTTCTCTCCACCTCCTTCCCCGAAACACCCCTGAAGATGGCTTGGGGCATGGGGTGCAGGTGTCCCCCAGGCCCAGCACGGAGCCCGCTGCACCGCTCTGAGCAGGGGAGGATGGAGCCTGGACAAGCAGGCTCTCACCCCAGTCCTCAGAACCTGACGGTGACAGAGAAGGGAAAGTAACTCTGACCATTTAGTGACTGTGCTTGTCACAGAGCTGCTGCTTCCTGCTTCTCCTGTGCCTTTGTCACACAGGACACCTTGCCAAGATTCAGTCTAGGAACCTGAGGCCTACACCTGCCCTATGTTGGTCAGATAAACTGTGGGGCCCATGGTTCAAAATCAGTCCAAGGAACATATCAGGACAGGGGACAGCTAGGGGAAGGGCCCTGCAATCCCACCGCTGTGGCCTCCATAAAGAGAAGGTGACGCTTGGCCACAGGCATGGGTCCCTCTTGTCCTCGCCATGTCCATTGAAAGCCCCAGTCCAGGCCAGAACAGCAAGGGCAGGAAGGCAGGAGGCAGGCCTGGGGCCTCCAGAGGGCTCCACAGGCCACAGGCTGCACCAGGAACAGGACCCTCACCAGACACAGGATCTGCCAGAGCCTGTTTCTTGAACTTCCCAGTCTCCAGAGTGGTGGGAAATAAATTTGATGTCATTTAAGCCATCCAGTCTCTGGTATTTTGTTACAGCAGCTCAAATGGACTAATACACCCCCACACACACACACACAAACAAATGCACACATGCACACGTGTGCACACACACACACACACACACACACATTGCTCCCTAGGGGCTGGGCTATAGGAGATGGGATGGGGAACTTGCATGTGAGCTCTTAGCTGATGGCCAAACCTTGGCCCAAACTCTCCCCAAGCACAGGGGTGGGGCCTGGGTGGGGTGGGTACACATGCATCCCACAGCACGTGGGTTGTCACACTGAGTGTTTCAGAGGACATCCGGGGGCACTAAAGACATCAACACCATGTGCTCGTCAATGTGGGTAACCTGTTCAGCTACGCACCCCCCACCCCACCCCAGCCAGACTCACAAGAGTCCCCAGGCAAAGACACCTGGAACACGTGCTGACTGTCAAAGCAGGAGCTGCAGCCTGTGCTTTCCAAGACCTCTAAGTCTAGAACCTCTTCTCAGGTGACACTCATGTGCACCTGTGGCATAAACCACACAGAGCAGTGCTGCCCCCAAAATCCTCTGACCAGCGGCCCCTGAGGGAAAGGTGGATCCTCCACCCCAAGGAAACACTTCTTGGGACCTCCTTACGCCAGCCCTGCTCTGCCCTGGCCACCTCCCAGGTCCCATGGTGCAGCCCTGGATCCGCCCAGAAGCTCTGCCTCATTTGCCTGGGTCCTGTTGCAAAGATAAGGAGGCCCTGAGATCTCCAGGTGTGCTCGGCGAGGTATCTGGACCCAGGAGAAATTCTTCCTCCCCTAATTCTGATTTGAAGCAGTCACCAGAATGTAGGGTCATCGTTTGTCCCCAGGGCTGCCAATGGCTGGGGAGGGGCTAGGAAGGTAACTTCCCCCAGGCACAGCCTTAGCCTAGAAAGCTCAGAAAGCACCACCAGACTTCTCATCTTCACCCACCCACATATTTGGTGGCATTTGACGGGGCTGAGGATGTGCTAGGGAGCAAGGGACAAAATCTGGAACAAGTGCAGCCCCCACCTTCAGAGCAATGGACACAGGCAGTTAACGGTTTGGATCTGGAATGTGCCCCAAAGCTCACGTCTTGAAGACTAGGTTTCCAATGTAGCAATGTCCAGAGTTGGGATTTTGGGGAGGTGCTTGGATCAGAAGGACGACTGTGACCTCAACGGTTAGTCCACTGAAGGCTGAATAGATTATTGGGAGCAGGTGGAAACTGCAGGCAGGTGGGGCATGGTTGGACACCTGGTCACTGGGTTTGCCCATGGGAGTATATCTTGGCCCTGGCCCCTTACCCTCCCCCACCTCGGCTTCCTGGCTGCCAAGAGCTGAGCAGTGCCCCTCTGTCACTCCTTCCATCATGATGCTCTGTCTCACCTGGGGCCCAGAGCAGTGGACTGAAACTATGAGCCCAAATCAACTTTTCCTTCTTTAAGTTGTTTATCTCAGGTATTTTGGTGACAGAAGCAAAAAGCTGACTAACACACAGGCCAAGCCCTAGAGAGGCCGAGAGACAGCAGTGAGGTCCCCAGAGTAGGGAGACCTCACTCTACAGAGGCAGCTTCACCAAGCACCAGGCCAGCCAAAGCTCCCCTGGATCAGGCTGGACTCCGAGAACAAGAGCGCTGGGGCTTCTCCCACCTCTGCCTCCTCCCTCCAATCCCACTGTGTCTACAGGGCTCTGCCCACGGAGCCTGAGGGTCTGGCCCCCTGGCTTGCAACAGGGACCTGGAGGGAACTCTCTTGAAGGAGACTGACGCCCCAGCCCTATCCCAGGGTACCATCCCACTCAGCCCAGCCAGCCCAGGGCCAGGAATGGGAGTGTGATCAGCCAGCCAGCCAAGGCTACGATCAGCCTCAGTTTCTGTGAGTACAAACCCAGGCAGGAGCCCGGAGGCCACACTTGCACACTTGTGACACCGGTCCAGTCTCCAGGCCACTTCTCTCCTGAGGTCTCTGCCGAACATGGCTCTGACCCCCACCTGCTACCCAGGCTTGGCCTTGGAGCTGAAAACCTACTTGGGTGAACCTGCCAAGCATGACTGAGCCTGTGCCTTGGGAGCCCCCCAGGACCCACTGAACCTGAGAGGGACCAGAGGAAAGGGGAGGCCTCAGCACACACAAACAGCAAGCTCTGAGAGACACAGGCCCTCTGAGATTCCCTGGGAAGGGGGGTGCTATTGCTGGAGGAGCATGCAGAGCCCACCCACAAACACATACGGACGACCTGGGCCCACCTGTGGCAATGGACAGTGCAGCAGGGATAGGCTGAGCTAGGGGCCCTGATGCACCGTCATCGCCATTTACCTGAATTCCCAAGTCTGCACCCCAGACTCAGGCTATTGTGGCCACTACCAGAGTTAATTATGCAGCCCTGGGCCTTAAATCTAGTGGGGTTTTTGCATAGCTCTTGAGGGCAGGAGCCAATCAGAAGGGGCAGGTGAGGCCTGAGGGGTTCCCAGCTTTGGAGTCCTGAGGCTGTGACACTGCCATTTGGTGCTACCCAGGGCATTTCAGCCCTAGCATCTTGGGGCCGAGGTTCAGGCCTAGCAGAGCCCCGGCCCTCCCTGCAGCCAAGGCGAGTATTGGCCACTCCAGATGGCAAGAGGCGGCCTTCTGGGTACTTACGGGTAGACTTCCCGTGGGTTTTCTCGCAGTTTGGGCAGTGGTAGATGTCAATGTCTGGCGCCTCCTCCTCTTCCACCCCAACACAGCTGAAACAGGAGGAAACAGATCGTTACCTTCTCATTGGAGCCCCCTCAGGTGACTTTCATCCACCAACTCTGAGGTAGGGTCCCAGCTCACCACTGGAGGACTGAGGCCAGATGGAGTAGAGTTGCACAGGGACAGGGTCCTTGGAGGGCAGGGGGGCTGCAGGGCTGCCCTCCTAGAGTGGATCTGCAGCCCAGACGCAGACAGTGTTGGACATGACCACCATGTGGACCCACTGGATGGGCTGGGCCTCACATCCAGCAGGCCTGTCTCCACAAGGCCACCTCCACCCTGTCCCCCAGGGTTCAGAGAAGATGAGGGGGGATCTCAGAGCCAGGTCACCCCCAGGTCTTTCCCTGGAGCAGCCCGTGAGGACAGAACATACCAGCAACAGCCAGGAGCACCCCATGCAGGACATACCACGGCCACCTGCCCAGCTCAACCCCAGAGGGCTCAGGATGACACCTGGGTCACAGGAATCATGACCTCTCCAACCTCCCTCCCTGAGTTCCTGCTGAGAACTCAGCCCAGGAGAGAGCTGCCCGCTGAGCAGACACTGGCCTGGTCACAGGCCAAAACCACTTAGGGAATGAGGACAGTGAGCACCAAAGGCTACGACCCAAAACATCAAAAGCTTCTAGAGTATCGAACCCAGCAAGATGGAAAGACATGGCTCCATTCCGATGGCTTCTACTTTTTTGGTTAAAAGTGACAGAAAAGTGGCCATCTGTACCATGCAATAAATGGGAATCGAGCTGATGAAGGGCGGGACGTGGGGAAATCTACCCCCACAAGGAAAAGCAGTTGATGGGCTGGGAACACGCTTCAGCGTTTCCTTCTCGTGAGCCAAGAAGTGTAAAGAAAACTGACCAGACATTTTTTAAAAATGACCTTTTCCCCAGGGGCACATCCAGAATTTCTGTGTAGGAGGAGTTCAGAGGAACAAGCTATCCAGAAGCCACCGATGTCCACCAAGCAGATGGTTTTGATGGAGGGCAGGCACTCCCAAACAATTATAGCCAAGTTTCCTAAACCATTTTCAGTCACATTTAGAATGACCTTTTAAATGTTTTCTTTTGTTTAATTTTTTATTTGGGGGCCGATAGAGATTCATAGCTATCAAAATTAGTAGGAATCTTTTAAAACACTAAAACGTAAAGGTGATGAGACTGGGAAATAGGGACACGACGGCTCCTGTGGGCAGGGCATACTGGCGAAGCCCTGGGCAGGACATACACCCCAACAGGTGGACATGGGAACATCCTGAGAGGAAAGCACTGTATGCACTGCGACGCTTGTTCAGCATTCTGTGTTAGAAGAAGATTAGAAACAGCTTAAATTTTCTCTTTAGAGACAAACTTTGCCATCTAGTGTCCCTCCCCCTAATGGAATCATCAGTGACCATTAAGAGTGATGAATGACAAGACCATGTGGGGACAGGTGAGTTACCACTGGGAGTTGACAGGCTACGTCAGGGTGGGAGAGGGTGACAGTTCCCCTTGCAGACTGCCTACGCTTCAACCACAGGGAAAGCAGCATATTTCAGTGCAGATGCTGGGCCTGGTCTCACACCTGGCTCTGAGCTTGTCATTCTTCTCCTACACCTGCTAAGGACACAGGCTGCATTCCCCAGCCCACTCAGTCACCTTGGCAATGCCAGGAGGGCTGCTGGAGCCACAGGGCACATGGGTCCCTGGAGAGAGAAGCTCAGGGCAGCTGGACTCACCTCCAGGGGAACCCGTGCTCTTCTGGGTCTGAACCACTGGATACTTTTCCTGACGTCTTATAGCCCTGAGCTTTCTTTGATGATGGAACATCATATCTATCTCTGAACTTGTTTTCTCCCCTGAATGGGGGGCCCTCCAATGTTAAGTGTTGGGAGGGGAATGTAGTAACCTATGTAAAAATGAACTCAGCGACTTTAGAAGAGGATCAACCAAACCAAAAGCTGGTTCTTTGACAAGTCTTTAGATAGACCGACCAAAAAAGAAGAAGAGGAGACTCAAATTACTAAAACCAGAAATTACTACTGACCTTAAGGAAACCAAAAAGGATTCTGAAAGAATAATATGAAAAAGCACAGGCCAATAAATTATACAACCGAGGTGAAATGGACAGATTCCTAGGAACACACAAACTTACGAAATTTTTTTAAAAAATAGAAACTTTAAACATATCCATAAGAAATAAAGAGATGGAATCAGTCATTGAAAAACCTTCCTAAAAACAAAATTCCAAATCACCACTAGTGGATTCTATCAAATATTTAAAGATGAATAATACCAAGCCTGGGCTGAGCCAAAAATAATTCAGCACCACCAATTCTCTCAAACTGTGCAGAAAGTTAGAAGTGGAAGGAATATTTCCTAGTCCATTATAAAAATTCAGCATCATCCTGACTCTAAAGTCAGGCAAACGCTACAAGAAAACTACCCACCAACAACCCTTATGAACACTGGTATAAAATCCTCAGCAAAATACTAGCAAATAAAACCCAGCAGCACCTTAAGGGGACCACATACCACAAACAAGTGAGATTATCACAGGAATGCAAGGGTCATTCCACACGGGAAATGAGCCAATGCTGCAATCCCCGAGGCATCACCGCTGCCTGCTAGGAAGGCAAGTGTCCCTGAGCCCTCCCTGGAGGCTGGGACAGCAGATTTCTGCTTCTCTTTCCCCCACTCAAGAAGACAGAGGTCTGACGGGGGAGTGTGGCTCACCTGGCCCTTTCTCTGGGGCGGCACAGCCTCTGCCTCGCCCTCTGCTCCCTCTCTCCCAGTCCTCTCCTGGTCTCCTTCCTTCCACACCACACCCCACATTAACGTAATGAAGAAAACCACACGCCACTTCTGTGGCTCTAGACTGATACAGAGAAAGCCACTTGACATAATCCAACACCCTTCGTGATTAAAAAACAGCAACAACAACAACTCCACAAACTCTAAATAGAAGGGAACGTCTTCAGATGATAAAGGCCATACGTGAAAACCCACGGCTAACATCATACACAAGGGTGACATTATACACATCGATAAAAGGCTGAAAGTGTTCCCTAGAAGATCAGGCAGGGGACAGGATGTCTGCTGTTGCCACTTCTATTCAACACAGTGCTAGAAGTCCTATTCAGAGAAAGGAAATGAAATTAAAAGCATCCAAATTGGAAAGGAAGATGTAAAATGATCTTTATTTGAATGACATAATCCTACAAAAATTCCTAAAGAATCCACACACACACACACACACACAAAAAAAAAAAATGCTAGAGCTAATAAATTCAGAAGTTGTGGAATGCAACATCAACACACAAAAACTAGCTGTATTTCCATACACTAGAAAGGAATAATCCAAAAATAAAATCAAGAAAGCAATTATGATCACATAAAAGGAATAAAATATTTAGAACCAGGCATAGTGGTTCATGCCTGTAATCCCAAGCCACTTGGGAAGCGGAGGTAGGAGGATCCCAAGTTTAAGGCCAGCCTCAGCAACTTAGCAAGATACTGTCTCACAATAAAATAGAAAGGGCTGGGGTTGAGCTGGGGATGTGGCTCAGCAGTAGAGCACTCGCCTAGCACGTGGGAGGCCCTGGGTTCATTCGATCCTTAGCACCACATAAAAATAAATAAAATAAAGATATTGTGTCCAACTACAACTAAAAAATAAGTATTAAAAAAAAAAAAGGGCTGGGGTTGAAGCTCAGTGGTAGAGCACTTTCCTAACACACATAAGGCACTGGGTTCAAGCCCTACTTCTGGAAAAAAATAAATAAATAAAATATTTAGAAATAAACTTAACCTAAGCTATGCAACACTGAAATTTTAAAAGGCAGAAATACATGAAAATACATCCCATGTTCACAGGTCAGAAGACTTAATGTCAAGATAGCAATAATATCGAAAGTGATGAGAGATCCAATGCCATCCCTACAAAATCCCAACACCTTTGTTCTCAGAAATGGAAAAGCTTATCCTTAAATTCGTATGGAATAATAAAGAACCCCAAAGGGCCAAAACAACCTCCAAAAAGAAAAATAAAGAGGACTTACACTTCCCAATTTCAAAACTTAACACTTAAACATAAAAAAGTCATTTTTGACAAGGGTTACCAGACCATTCGATGGCGGAAAGGATAATCTCTTCAACAAAAGACAGCCTCATGCAAAAGAACGGACTTGGATGCCTACCTTGCTCCTATACAAAAATTAACTGAAAATAAAAACAGCCTAAATGTAAGATGTAAAATTGTAAAACTCTTAGAAGAAAAAAAAATGGAGAAAAATCTTTGTGGCTTTGTATTTGTCAACGGATTCCTAGATATGACACCAAAACCATGAGCAACAAGAGAAAAAATAGATAAACTGGCCTCATGGAAATTAAATGTTCTTTGTGCATCAAAGAACACCGTGAGGATGGCTGGCGCCTGTCATCTCAGGGACTCAGGAGGCTGAGGAAGGAGGATCACAAGTTGGGGGATAGCCTTAGCAACTCAGCAAGACCCAGTCTCAAGTAAAAAACAAAAAGACTGGGGACACAGCTGAATGGTAGAGTGCCCTTGGGTTCAATTCCCAGTACTAAAAAAAAAAAAAAAGGAGTTGGAGGAGGAGAAACAGCACTGAGAGAATGAAAGGAAATATTTGCCAATCATATACCAGCTAAGGAGCAGGCGTCCATATGAAGAACGCTTACAGCTCAACAATGAAGACAAATAATCCAATTTAAAAATGGACAAATGGTTTAAACACTTTTCCAAAGATTGGTAAATGGCTGACAAGCACATGAAAAAATGTTCACCATTGTTATTAAAGTGCAAATCAAAACTAAATGACGTATCACTTCGTACCCACTAGAATGGCTATAAATTCGCTTTTATAATTTTTTTTTAGAAAAGTAAGTATTTACAAGGGTATGGGATAATTGTAACCCTCTTCCAATTCCTCAATGGAGGGAATATAAAATGGCACAGGCACCTTGGGGAAAAAGTTTGATGTTTCCTCAGAAAA